GAACCTCATCCGGGAGCCCCCCCGCCCCCAATAAAGCTATTTGTTTCTGCTCTCCCTTGCCCTGTCAGTTATGTCCGTCTTCCTCCCTGCCCCTCAGTTCTGCTTTACATTTGGTGCGTGAAACCCGGGAGAGGTAGGGACAGGGGCTCCGTGCTGTCCCTGCCCTGCTTCGACTGGGACGCAGCCCACCCCTCTCCCCTCTCAAACCTCTGGAGCCTGTCTGAACGAACGAGCGACTTCTGGTCAGTATCTCTCTCTGTACGTTCGTTCTGTCTCGTCTGTCTTGTTTGTTGCTCTGGACACCGAGGCCCAGCAAGCTCACACGGGAGCAAAGGGTCGGTGGGAGGCTAACTAGCTGAACGCCCTGACCGTGGCTCCGCTGCAGGGGTTTATTCCACAACCCCAGTACCAAGAGAGCTGGAAATAACTGCCTTTCCTGAAAGGGGTGCGGCGATAAGGCCAGTTTCTCGTGTCCATCTTTCCTCTGTGTCTACCTTCTCTCATGTGGCCTCCAGCCCGCGTCTCTGTGTTTACCTCCTGGGATTCCTGCTGCTAACAGGCCTCCTAGGCGAGCAGTCCCTGTACCTTCTGCCTGGACTGGAAGCAGAGGGTGTGTCTTGAGTCTCTACCTGTTAGTGTGTTTTGCGTCTGTGGCCCTGCAGTGCTTTCTCTAAAATGTTCTGCTTCCCTTACTCACCCTGAACAAAGGCCTAACTAAACTCCATTTTTACCGGCCATAAGGCCAGGCCCCCCTTACCCTCCTCCATTGTGTCTCTGATCCGGGGGCCGGCTTACCGCAAGCCTGCGCCAGGGAACCTTCCAGGACTCTCCTGCTGGGCCCCTCGCTCTGACTGATGCCTCTCAGTTTACTGGGCCACCTCCTGACTGAAGGGTGCTAATGGGGGACCAGGGGATGTCCTCCTCTGTCCGTACCCCCTGCGTTTGAGACACTGTCCCAACCCCCTAAGGACAGTCCTTTGGGGTGCCTACTGCCAACCTTACTGAATTGGGTTTGGCTCCTGATCTCCGCCCTAAATGCCTGGTCTTTTTCTGTAACCAAGTTTGGCCTCAATACCAATTGGACAATGAGTCGCACGAGCCAGAAAATAGCACTTTCGATTTTAACGTTCCCCGCAACCTCAAATAATCAGAAGTCCCTTATGTTCAGGTCATTTTCTTTCTTCACTCCCGCCCCTCTCTACGACCTGTCACCCTGCTCAAGACCTCTTGGCCACTCTCTTAATGAGGCCCAGACGGTACTCCCCTTCCGTCTCTCTCCGGACCCCCGAGGACTCCTTTGCGCCCCCAGTAAGGCCACCTCCATAATCTAGGTACCCCTCACCACCACCTCCTCTGCTACCCACCCCCTCAACTCCCAAAGGCTGAGGAGTCCCCTCCCCAGAGCCAAGCCCCTCAGACTCCCTGGAGTCTCTCCCTCCTTCCCAGCTCCCTCCCTGCTCAGCCTCCACTTAGCCAACACCGCAGCCTCTCCCAGATAGGGAAGCAGAGCACAAATCCATGGACACCACCCTGAGCCTGGCAGGAGGGAGGGGTCAGAGAGCTCCAGGAAGTAACAACTTTAATCGCTGCACTTTTGATTTCAATATCCTCTGAAATCTCAACAATTTCTGCCAGTCAACTCACAAACAGTCTGAGATTCTGCATCCAGGCCGCCTTTCCTCTGAGCTCCCGTCCCTTTCTCTAGTTCCTGCTCCCCTTCCCACGTCCTCCTGACCAAAGAAAATTCCTCCTCTCCTCCTGCTTCTGCACCCCCTGACCTACCTGAACACCTTGTCTCCCCTCCTACTCACCCCTCTCCCTATTCTGGCCACCCGGAGCTGCCCCCGGCTCCTACACTCGCCTCGTGGTTAGCTAGCACATGCAACCACAGAACCCCCTTGTCCTCTGTCCACTCCGGGAAGTGGCCAGGGCTGAGAGTGGTCCGGTTCATGCTCCCTCCTCTCGCTGATTTACCTCAGATTGAAAAGCATTTAGGCTCCCTTATAACGATCCCTCCACCTATATTAAGGAGTTTCGGTATTTAACTCAAGCATATGACTTGTCCTGGCATGATATTTTTGCCATCCTTTCCTCCACCCTAACCGCAGATAAGAGGGAAGCATTTATCTCGCTGTTCAGCAGCACTGACCAGGTTCATTTGACCCGCCCTGATCTAGGTAGGTGGTTTCTAGACAAAGACCTGGTTAAAGTTATCAAATTAACAATCAAGCAGGTAGGGACAGGCCTGCCTGCCAAAATAAAAGGCTTCAGTGTCTCCTGACTTGGCTTCAGGCCATTTCCCATATAGGAGGCAGTTTTGATCATCTTAAGATCACTCAAAAGCCTGACAAGAAGCCAGCACCTTTTGAAGCTGCTTAACTGATGCTTTCCATTAAAAGCTTACAAAGCGGAAGAAAGGCCCTCAAACCCCGGTCCAAGATTTAGGGAATATGGCATTTAAGGTTTTAACAGCTGTGAGGAGCAGGCAGTCAACCCAAGCCTTAGTAGCAGCCTTGCGGCTGGCGATTCCCCCAGGCCCAGAAGGGCAGCGTGGGGCAAGGGTGTGTGGGAACAACGCCTGCCACCTGGTGCCTGCTTCAAGTGCGGAGAAGGGCACTGGTCACAGAAGTGCCCCAGGCCTAAAACTCCAACCAAACCCTGCCCGGCGTGCGGTCAAAGCGGACACTGGAAATCCCACTGTCCTTGGAAATGCGACGGGCCCTTTGGGTCTCCACGTGGAGGGACTGTCCTTCCAATTCCTGACCCGCCCATTGGCCCTGCTGGGATTGGCTGAAGTCTGAGGAGACCCTGACTGGACCCCCATCACCCTCGCCGAGCCTGGGGTATTGCTCAAGGTATCGAGTGAGTGAATGTCCTTCTTCCACAGAAGCTGTCTTCTCTGACCTGCCCTCATTTTCAGGGCTAAGCAATCCTTCCTCAATCTCAGTCATGGATATTAATGGCAAGCCTACCTGCCCCAGGTGTACCAGCCTTTACTCATTCCTCCTTAAAATCCCTGTGTGCCCGGTCCCTCTGTTGGGAAGAGACATTTAAAATTAGTTAGGAATCTCCTTACCCCTTACATTTGGTCTCACAGCACCTCTGCTCCTTCCCCTTCTCTCACCCGACCTGGAAGAACTGGCCTACAGACCTCGCTGCTTCCCGATGTTAACCCATCATACAA